TTCTTGATTTCTTGATTTCAGGGGGAACTACTCCCAGCTACGCGCGCTTCACCTTCGACGCCACCCTGTACCCGCCGGAGGACGACGACGACTACATCATAATCGGGACCATCGGCTGCCCTCTCGCTGCCACCCTCTCCGCCGCCGGCCACCACGTCCTCCTCCTCGAGCGCGGCGGGACCCCCGACGAGTTCCCCTCCCTCAGCTCCCAGGACGGATTCCTCCAAACCCTGGTTGCCGCCAACAGCCTCGATTCCCCCGCCCAGTCCTTCGTCTCCGACGACGGCATCACCAAGGCTCGCGGTAGAGTCCTCGGCGGATCGTCGGCGATCAACGCGGGAGGAGGTAACCCTCAGTCCCCAAACCCTGACCCTAAGAATCGATTCTTGTTCTTGATTTCTTGATTTCTTGATTTCTTGATTTCAGGGGGAACTACTCCCAGCTACGCGCGCTTCACCTTCGACGCCACCCTGTACCCGCCGGAGGACGACGACGACTACATCATAATCGGGACCATCGGCTGCCCTCTCGCTGCCACCCTCTCCGCCGCCGGCCACCACGTCCTCCTCCTCGAGCGCGGCGGGACCCCCGACGAGTTCCCCTCCCTCAGCTCCCAGGACGGATTCCTCCAAACCCTGGTTGCCGCCAACAGCCTCGATTCCCCCGCCCAGTCCTTCGTCTCCGACGACGGCGTCCCCAAGGCTCTCGGCAGAGTCCTCGACGGATCGTCGGCGATCAACGCCGGATTCTACAGCCGGGCTCACAGGGAGTTCTTTAACGCTTACGGTGTCGAGTGGGACCCGGAGATGGTGGAGAAGGCGGTGGGGTTTAGGCCGGAGCTGAAGAGTTGGGTGTCCGCAGTGAGGGATGGATTGATCAAGGCGAATGTACTTTCGATTCAAGCGGGAGGAGGCATAGTGCTGCTGATTTGCTGGCATTGGCGAACGCGGAGAATTTGAGGGTGCGACTAGGGCTAGCGTGGAGAGGATCTTGCTCAATTCAAATCTATCCTCAGGTTGGTTTTCTTGATTTTTTTGAATTGGGTTCGTTGTTCTGTTTTCTTGATTTCAGTAGAACAGTACCGTGTCAAAATCTTGATTTCTTACATTTCGGTTGGGTTTTGATAATGTTTTGGAACATTTAGAGACACCGGTTTGCCCCCAATCCGGTAGCCTCTAGGCAATGTGCTGTGGCCTACATTGTCATTTTTCACCATTTGGAAAGCTTGGCGCTTCGGGTTTGAGTCTAAAACAGTTGGCTGAGTTGAATTAATTGTTTAATCTTATGGTTCTGATTGGTCAATCATATGATTAATTGGTTAAAAAATAAGTAATTGGACAGGAGCAATCTTTATGAGTATAATTTAAATATTCTTTTAGTGAAATTTGATGTAATTTTGGCGTTTCCAGCATACTTCTGAGGTTAATTCATTAACATCTTTACTATGAAGTAGTTATCACAAGTAATTTTGTAATTGTCTAGTTGGTACTAAGATTTTACTTAACTAAATTTCAATTATGTCTTGCCTTCTTGTTTGAAAAATATCAGGTATTGTTGTGAGGCTTAAACCCATTTAGACATTTATGTACTGTGATCTCCGTTATCATTCTTCATCCTACTATTCATAGGTTGTTGAATGAGTTTAAATGAAGTGTAGGATCTTATTGATTGGACCGCTGAATTATATGATTAATTGGGTCTGTCTATGCAAAGTGAGTAGTTGGGTTTGAACGATCTTTTGGAATATTTATGGACACCCTGTTATTCTTCCAACAACTAAATATCTTCCTCTCAAATCTGATCATATTTTGTACAAAAAGGTTTGATTTAGAGTCATTACTCATTAGACCAATATTTTGTGATCACAACATGTCTTTCCACTTTGGCACTATTTTCCAGGCTTCTACCACAAAGGAATTTTATGAACATAGAAACTTAATTGATAATTTTCTTATTATTTCTTAAAATTGATGTGTTCTCTGATTTTATTTTAGTATAATTCCTTTTGAGTGCTAATTTGATATTTCAGCGTTCTTCCACATACATTTCAGGATTCGCTGCTTAATAAACTTGTGGAAGTGATTTCTATCTCTGCAGTATCTTTATTAATATGTAGTTATTCCAACTACTTTTCCAATTCTTCGGTTAATGATAGTTTTTTTAAGAATAAAGCTGCTACAAGTAATTTTTCTACAGTCTCTTAAAAGTTTTGATGTCTCAGCTACTCGCTGCTAATAAGTCTGAAAGAGAATTTAACATGCTGATTGTCAGGAAGTAGCATTTCTGGGCATCTAGGCTTTTTTTTAAGAATAAAGCTGCTACAAGTAATTTTTCTACAGTCTCTTAAAAGTTTTGATGTCTCAGCTACTCGCTGCTAATAAGTCTGAAAGAGAATTTAACATGCTGATTGTCAGGAAGTAGCATTTCTGGGCATCTAGGCTAGTTGCTTAAAATATAATGAATATAATTACAAAGGTGGGGGAAAATAACCGTTGTATCTCATGCCATCAAAACTAAACTTTTGTTGTTAAACCTTAATTCTTAGTTTGATTTAACTTAATTCTTAATTGTTATAGATAGTAAAAGCGGGTACAGCGCTGCATGCAGGCTCTGCCTGTGCAGAGATTTGCTATGTGCTCGCTGTGCAAAGAGCTTCCTAGGGCATGGAGCTGGAGGACGAGGAGGAGGCGGTGGCGGTGGTGGAGGCGGCGGCCATGAGGATGAATGGTCGTGGGACATGCAGGCTCTGCCTGTGCAGAGATTTGCTATGTGCTCGCTGTGCAAAGAGCTTCCTAGGGCATGGAGCTGCAGCTGCGGCAAGGTAGGGCGTTGCTTGAGGTGCGGTCTCGACCGGGGGAGGGTGATTAGGTGCCATGTGTGCGGGAGGGCGGATACTATCGCCGTAGGGTAGGTGATTGAGGGGGAAGATGGTAGTGTGACTTAGGTGGTGATGAGGCCGTCATCGCCGTCACCATGGGCTCAGCTGCCACGGTCGTTGCTCGTATCGGAGCACCGCCATCTTCCCTCGCCCTTCCTCTTCGTCGACTTATCTGGTTTGTGGTTCACGGAGAACGTGGGGCAGCGCTGTCACTGAGACTTGCTGGTTTATACATACGAGGCAGAGGGGTTGAGGGTTGTTTTTGTGTACGATGAGTCGCCGTGAGTGTTTCTCTCTTGGCCTTTTTAAACTTTTCAATCTTTGGGGTTAAACTTGTTTATTTTAAGTTTAATTAGAGTTCGAAAGCTTGCTCTCAAAAGTTGTGGCTTTGGGTACTGACCTTTGACTCTCTCTAACCCTATTCCTCTGTTTTGCATTTAACTTTGCTTTTTAATGTGTTTTTTGGCCAACCTTTTTGTCACTAACCTTTATTTTTCTCTTCCTTTTTCTTGCAGGGGATCCGGATTCGACCGGGTCGCTGCTTACCTCAGGCATGAGTGAACTTTTCGCATATTTTAATTGTTTTTACCACTAAGTACTCTATTGATAAATGTCTAATTACCACGTAATGTTTTTTGCTTTAACTTTAGTATTCTTAAGTGTTTTGATATTCACGCTATTATGTCTAAATGTTGCTGTATTCTGATCCTTTTACATCTTTACTATTCACTTTCACGTCTGCAAAACATTGTGGTTTCCATGTTTATGACTTTGGCTTTGTAACCATATGTATCCTAACTTGCAACTCTGAACCAAAGTTGATTTCCGTCTATGAAGCTCTGAGGTGTCTTTAAGTTGGTGTGTTTTGTGATGTAGTAAGCCCGAAAGGAGTGAAGCACTAAATGCCAGTACATAATGTACTTATTTCTTTAAGTTTGTCATGCTTTTGCTATCACTTTCTCATGTGGGTGATATGCAACTTCATGTGTTAACCTGTACTCATTTCTTTCATCTGGCTGTGTCTACGTTATAACTTCCATGTTCGAAGTCTTTTTAGATGATAGTTAGACTTCATGCAGCTCAATCTCAGTTATCATCCAAGACCTAAAGTTTACAATGTGATTAAGACCTTTGATACATGACCCCAAAGCCAGATTCCTTTTGAGTTTTTCAGGGTTCTATAGACTTTAGGTCTTAATCACATTGTAAACTTTAGATCCTGGATGATGACTGAGATTGAGCTGCATGAAGTCTAACTATCATCTAAAAAGACTTTGAACATGGAAGTTATAACGTAGACACAGCCAGATGAAAGAAATGAGTATAGGTTAACACATGAAGTTGCATATCACCCACATGAGAACGTGATAGCAAAAGCATGACAAACTTAAAGAAATAAGTACATTATGTACTGGCATTTAGTGCTTCACTCCTTTCAGGCTTACTACATCACAAAACACACCAACTTAAAGACACCTCAGAGCTTCATAGACTGAAATCAACTTAGGTTCAGAGTTGCAAGTTAGGGTACATATGGTTACAAAGCCAAAGTCATAAACATGGAAACCACTATGTTTTGCAGACGTGAAAGTGAATAGTAAAGATGTAAAAGGATCAGAATACAGCAGCATTTAGACATGATAGCGTGAATATCAAAACACCTAAGAATACTAAAGTTAAAGCAAAAAACATTACGTGGTATTAGACATTTATCCATAGAGTACTTGGTGGTAAAAATAATTAAAAGATGTGAAAAGTTCACTGATGCCTGAGGTAAGCAGCGACCCGGTCGAATCCGGATCCCTGCAAGAAAAAGGAAGAGAAAAATAAAGGTTAGTGACAAAAAGGTTGGCCAAAAATCACACTAAAAAGCAAAGTTAAAGGCAAAACAGAGGAATAGGGTTAGAGAGAGTCAAAGGTCAGTACCCAAAGCCACAACTTTTGAGAGCAAGCTTTTGAACTCTAATTAAACTTAAAATAAACAAGTTTAACCTCAAAGATTGAAAAGTTTAAAAAAGGCAAAGCGAAAAACACTCACGGCGATCCATCGTACACAAAAACAACCCTCAACCCCTCTGCCTCGTATGTATAAACCAACCAGTCCCGATGACAGCGCTGCCCCACGTTCTCTGTGAACCACAAACCAGATAGGTCGACGAAGAGGAAGGGCGAGGGAAGATGACGGTGCTTCGACACGAGCAACGGCCGTGGCAGCTGAGCCCATGGCGACCGATGGCGACGGCGACGGCGGCCTCATCACCACCAAAGTCACACTGCCCTCTTCCCCCTCAACCACCTACCCCACGACGATAGTATCCGCCCTCCCACACACATGGCACCTAATCACCCTCTCCCGGTTGAGGCCGCACCTCAAGCAGCGCCCTACCTTACCGCAACTGCAGCTCCAGGCCCTAGGAAGCTCTTCGCACAGCGAGCACATAGTAAGTCTCTGCACAGGCAGAACCTGCATGTCCCACGACCATTCATCCTCATGGCCGCCGCCTCCACCACCGCCGCCGCCTCCTCGTCCTCCCCCCTGCACCCGCCAGCTCCGCCCCAGCCGCCCGGAAGGCCCCTCCACGGTCGCCTGGATGCCTCCTCCCCGACCGCCCCCCGGATGGCGTCCACCTGCTCAACCACCCCCTCCCCCGGATGGCGCAACGCTGTACCTGCTTTTACGACCTAAAACAATTAAGAATTAAGTTAAATCAAACTAAGAATTAAGGTTTAACAATAAAAGTTCAGTTTTGATGGCATGAGATACAACAGTTATTTTCCCCCACCTTTGTAATTATATTCATTATTTTAAGCAACTAGCCTAGATGCCCAGAAATGCTACTTACTGACATTCAGCATGTTAAATTCTCTTTCAGACTTATTAGCAGTGAGCAGCCGAGACATCAAAACTTTTAAGAGACCGTAGAAAAATTACTTGTAGCAGCTTTATTCTTAAAAAAAACTATCATTAACCGAAGAATTGGAAAAGTAGTTGGAATAACTACATATTAATAAAGATACTGTAAAGATAGGAATCACTTCCACAAGTTTATTAAGCAGCGATTCTGAAATGTACGTGGAAGAACAAGCACGCTGAAATATCAAATTGGCACTCAAAAGGAATTATACTAAAATAAAAT